AGTGATGGAATTTGACAAATATATGTGATGGCTGGGAGCATACATGAGATGTCTGGGAGCAAACTTTGTTCTTCAGCAAAGCTGCTTACAAAAAGTCAACAACTTTTTTCAAAATAAGTCATTCTTGTTACTTTATTTATTTACTGTATTTATGTTTTACTTGCATCTATTCTAATGACATATGCTTTTTATAGCAAAAACACACATATTGCCAAAATAAATGGTTTTAAACAATGTGCTTAGGTGCCTAAGCCTTTCGCATGGTGCTGATCGAGAACTGGATTCTGCATACTTCTAATCTGTTTACCATACTCACTGTCATTAAACTCAGAGCTAAGCATGGCATAGCTGTGGTGCTGTTTCATCAGTTCCCAACTAAGGCTTTAAAATATGTCATTTTCTCAGTAAATTCACTGTGATAATTGGCTGATAACCAAAGTTCAACTTCTGAGCGATGCTAAAATGGAACCACTTGAAAACCACCTAGCTGTTTTCTCATTATAGCGCCTCTTTTGAAGCTTCTCACAGCACTCTGAGTGTAGTTATTTCGAGCTTAAAGACCCCTCAACTGTTGTCTCTATATAAGTATTTCAAAAAGAAGCTTTTCATGGCGTAAGACAGGTTAGCGCATTCTTGAGGAACGCATTAATTCATATCTATAAAACACAGCACAACAGCATAACAAGGAAGAAGGCACTTCAAAGGCACTCCATCCCGGAGGGTGAGCTGGAGGGTGCTGCGTTTGGCGGCTCGTTGGGTACACAGACAGAGGAGGCCACACTTTGAAGTGCTGGGGGGACGCCTGCTATGGATTTATTTCCCCACTTCAAGACCTGTTGCTTCAGCTCTATAAAAAGAGAGCTTTGGTCAGACCTGCTAGTCGACCACTCTGGGGCTAGCTGTGTGTTCCATCCACCTTCTATGAAGTCCACAGGCAAAATGCTCAAGAATGTCCAAAATATGGTGCACACACAAATAATGACAAAAAAAGATTACTACACATTTTCACTCATTTTGAAATCAATGGATTACCCATTTTGCAAGTCTTTGATTTCATTTTTTTCTATATGCTGATAGATTTTAACCTACTAAAATCACTCTTTTGCTTCTCCTTTGCATTCACCGGCACTCTCTATTGGTCAACTGATTTGGAGTGACAGGTCTTCTGAACACATAACTACACCCACTCTGAGACCTGAGTCAGAACCATCTTTATTTGTATTTGCGACATCTGTTGGACATTGTGACTTGACTTGAGTTTTTGCTTGAGGATTTTATTAATTTACTGGAAACATTTGGCACAAAATGCACTCTCCTAATGCACCCGGCTGCTCTGGAGACCAGACAAACATCGCATCCCCTTTTGAACTCCTGTTATGATTTATAATTGGCTACACATTAGCTTGCAGCACACAATTTATTAAAATACTAAAATGTATAGTGTGTTATTAAGTTCAAATGATATTTATTTATTTTGGATGTGAAGTGAAGGTTGACACTGTTTGTGTAGCACAGGTGCAGATGAAGTCAAGCTAATGGTGCCAAATTCACAGTCGATACCAATCTGTCTACTTTCGATTAGTCAAAACATATTCCAGCTATCATATTCACTATCCTAGCATTTTAAACTGGAAACTCAACACTATGTATCTAAACTCTAAAGCAAATTCATGAGGATGCATGGGACAATTGTGAATGTCTTGTAAATCTTATCCTACCTCACTACAGATGATACAAAAGCAAGCATCTGTGAGTAGTGCATGGATAGGTCTATTCCCTGCATGTTTCTGGACCAGGCCTGCATAATATGGACAAAATTCCAAATTGAGATGATGTGGTGACTGCATTACAGTATGATATGCCTGGATCATATGAATGGCTTAAAAAACAACATAAAAACTCATCTGGAATGTCTGAGTTTGGTACAGAAGCTCACAGCACACAGTACAACAAAGGAGATTTTTGTTAATGCAGCCTTCTGCAATATCACTATTGCAAAAGCCAATATTGTAATAACAATGAACAAATTACAGTTCTGAGCCAGTCATTTTGCATTCCTTACCTACCGTAATCTCATATCATTCTATATGTGTCTAACACATCAGTAGCCCACTAGAGCTTGTTCTGAGCTGTTTTCTGACAGTTTTTCAGACTTCTAACTCTATTTTTTCGATTATTTCAGAAATCTTTGCTCTGTTAATCTCAGTTAAAGTCAATCTGAAATCAAAATTGACCTTTTCAGTTTGTTACTTCATGCACAAATTCTTGTTTTCCTGTACTCTTGAATCAAAATGTAATGATTTCTATGAGCCTCTAAAATGTCTTCTAAATCTCGAGTGCACCAGTAGATGGGGAAAAATAATATGAACCAATACTCCTCCTCTCACCACTCTGAGTGAAAACTCAGCTAGCTCAGAGACCCTCAGTAATACTGTACCACAATCAAAAATACATCAGAGTCTAGGTAAGAAACAAGCATTATGATTTCTGATTTACATTGACATTCATTTCACACGTGCTCTTGCACTCTAATCTTGTACTTTCTATTTAAATTACACTATCCACAATCAAAGACGGATGGGTTTGGGTTTGGGTTTCTTCCTAATGGCCTTGCCAGTCTCTTTGTCTTGCCAGCTTGCTCATCGCTGGTCTGGACCTGGATTTCTGCAAAGCTGCTTTTCGACATGGCCTGCTGTAAAAAGCTCTACACAAATAAACTGCAGTGAACTGAATGCATTCCATTTAGAGTTCTCTGTCAGACTGACTGAGATATTTAAAATCATGCACAAGCCATTTAAGGGGATACTCCAGCAATTTTCAACCAAATCTTCCATAGCCCAGCACAGTCAATGACTATGTACAATAATTTTAATACCTTTCATTGCGCTTACTTAAAAACTCAAAAAAAAAAATCAAAACAAACTTAAAATATTAGTCTATGCTAAAGCACCCATTGTCTATTTTATAAATCAACAGTTTTTTCTGTTGTTTGCCAAGCACAGGGACATTGCTGTCCATGGTAACGTGACTGTACACTACAGATGCATCAAACAGAGCTCAGGCTGGAGTGTTCCCTTAACAGGAAGGAGGATATAGCCAATTCCACTCTCATCTCTGACCACCTACTAAGAGCAATATAAGGATGCAGTCTGGATTACGATTCATTATGATCTCTGTGATTTATTATGATCTGGACGTTCCAGATTATGGAACGTTCCATCGTAATGGAGCATCATTAGTCTTCGCACAGAACTGGCGCTTGCAGTGAAAGTCCAACAGCTACACCAGCGATCTGTGCTCAACCTGCAAATGTATTTTATTCCTTGCTGCTTCATTGTTTGCATGGGCTGACCGCTCCAGGTCACCTGCCATCGACGACGTGTGTTGACACAGCTGTTGCATGTGTGCCGTGATACTGTTTGCGCTCGTGGATCTGGTAAAGCGCATGGCAGGGACGACCATTTGGGCACAATACCAAAGAGCCTTTATCTAACTCATGCATTCGCCCACGCCGTGTGTAACAAATACTCTGCACACATAAACTACGCTTATCAACCACAACAGTAAGCTGCCCAGCAAGCGCAATCACAGTCCAAAGTGTGACAACAACCGTGTATTACAGGGCAACAAGTGCCATAGTTGCAGTGCAGTATCCAGGCCACTGCATGGGTTGTGTTTTATTAGCATGATAATGTATGGTTAATTGTAACACATTGTTTGCATTTCTATCTTTTGTTGCCTGTCCTTGTATAACTGTGTTGTAGCATTGGTATTACTATATAATTGTGATAACACAGAGCTTCTGTGATGCAAAACACAAAGCTCTAATACATAAAAACATTGCATTACACAAATGTGTGCCTAACTTACATTTAAAACTCTAGTCCAGGATGCACTGTCGCTCATAACACAAAATCTTTACACGTGTAGTTTAAGTAGGCTGCCTGCCAAAGCCCACATGAACTTGTTCTTTGTCACAGTAATCCTGCCTTATGCTCATATCGAGCTCTTTATCTAGTATGTGGTCATATCTACCAGCACGTTTATGACCAAGATGGTCAGATTTGTGAACACTGCCCACTTCCTTATCTCACAGGACTTTTGATTCAAATGTATCTGTTCAATTCTGGAAATTTTGTAAACTTGGTTTGTTTCTATAATAATTCCACTATCTGTAGTCAACCCCAGCTCCCTTTCTGAATCTTGATTCTTCTCAGTTTCTTTCTCATTCCAAAGGAGTCTAGCCACTGTCACCCCCAGATTGCTCATTAGAGGGTTTGCCAAGCAGTTTTGTGATCTATGCATATGCAACTGAACTGAACCACCTCCATGTTTCTACTCTCATTGTCCATTTTATCAGCTCCACTTACCATATAGACGCACTTATAGATGTAGTTCAATTATAGATAGTCCATCTTTTTCTGCATGCTTTGTTAGCCCCCTATTACCCTTTTCTTCAATGGTCAGGACCACCACAGAGCAGATAAATACCTCAGCGTCACTGCTGGACTGAAAATAATGGGCAGCGCCCCCCTGCGAGTGGACACAGTGTTTACAAACTCCAGCAGCACTGCCGTGTCTGATCCACTCGCACCAGCACAACACACACTAACACGCCACCACCACGTCAGTGTCACTGCAGTATTGAGAATGATCCAAAACCCAAATAATATCACACCTGCTCCGTGATGGTCCCGCAGGGGTCCTGACCATTGAAGAACAGGGTAAAAGGGGGTTAACAAAGTATGCAGGAATACAGACGGACTACAACTGCACCCATATGGTAAGTGGAGCTGATGAAACAGACAATGAGCGCAGAAACAAGGAGGTGGTTTTAATGTTATGGCTCACAGTATCATCATTACACGTTTGTTTACTTCTGGAAACTGTGTTGATGTAATACAGTTAATGTGGAAAAGATGTGCTCGTCCGAATCAATAAAATTGTTCAGCGCGGGCTTTAAAATCACAAACCCCAGGTGCCGTTTGTTATCCGCTCACCTTGAAGGCGATGTCGTAGAACTCGCTGCTGCTGCTGACCGGAGGTCGGCTAGGGTGGACCACTCCGTTGGCCTGCACCCCGGGCACTAGGCTGCTCCTGGTCGAGCGGCCGCTCTCTTTGGCCGGAGTGGCGGCAGATGGACTGCCGCTGCTGCCTTTGCCCTTCGACGCCTTTTTCCTGGACATTACGAAAAGCGACGCAACTCTCTCGGGCGAAAAGTCGTAAACGAAGCAGCCGCTCGAAGGAACAAAAAGCACGATGGGGTTCAACGTGTAGACGAATCTTCCAGTTAGCCGGGCTTAGCCAGGTACTGTTCACCTGCACGCCAGTTCTGCTGCCATCGGGTTTTGTTGGAGGAACTTTACGCCGACTTTTCTGCTGACTGGAACAAGCAGCGGCGGATGTCGGTGCGAGTCCACTTCAGGCTCACTCCCCGCTTTTCTCCGCTTCCTACAGCCGAGCCACCTGATTTTATGCAGTACAGCACTCGATGAGCAGCTTCACTCACTTTCCTCAGCTCCGCGTCTCAGAGCGCTCACAACACACACAGCGTGCAGATTCAACCGACACCGACTCGAGTGTCACTCAACAGTGTGCTTTGGCAAAGCGCGGAGAGAGAGAAAGAGAGAGAGAGAGAGAGAGAGAGAGAGATGTGAGGGTACTTGTTGAAGTGGGTCCGTTTTAAAGGAACAGCGATGTATTTTGCTACATCGAGTAATCGAACAATAATTGGGATAATCAACCCCAAAACTCAAGAAAACAACCCTAAAATATGGTAGTGATTTACAAAGCTGTTTTATGTGCTCAAACTCTAAAAGACATATGTTTATATTTTACCAGCAATGAAGTGGAAATGAGTTTGAGACGAACGCTGTGAATGCTGGGATGTTTCCTGTTAAAAACCCACTTAGCAGTGTGTGCTACTGCACAACGTTCCATTCGAGCAGCGTTCATTGAAGGGGAATTCCACCGACATTTCGAATTTCCTGTACAATTCAATGGTTAAGATGTAAACATCAACAGAAATCATACAGAGTTGATGTGAAATGGTTCACTGCAGAGGATTGCATTGGTTATATGGAATTGCACTGATTCATTGGTAGGAACCAGGGGCTGCAATATCTATGACACAAATATAGACATTTTCTTAACCATCCAAAACATATGTGAACCTTCAGGTGTATTCTGACGTTTATACGAAATCTTGATAATGGTAATGTAGTGGAAAATCTGAAAAAAAAAAAAAAAAAACATTTTCTTTGGGTACTCTTTTGCCCTATACCTATCTTTCTACCATGAACAGATTTTAAAAGGTTAGGCTAAAATCTTAAATTTTCTATCTCAAAACTATGGTAAAACAAACCCTCAGTCATCATGAAAGTAATTCTCTAGAATGGAGCATTTCACATGATGCCACTTTGAATGACTCAATTTAATTTGACAGCTTATTGTCCCATTCTTATTGCCATTATAAGGAGTGTTTCAGTCCAAACTGCTTTTTGAATGGGCCAAAATACAGTGCAGTCAATCAGAACATAGTTCATTTATATATATATCGCTCAAGGCACAGTAACAAAAACAGCCTTTTTGATGTTTTCCCTCAAAATCTATCACATTTTTCCTTTATTTTTCCTTTTGTGCTTCTAAAGGCAAGGCAACAAAATTACCTCCCAAAGTCTTCCACATAGATCAGATCAGCATCAACCTTTGGGGTCAAAAATGTCTTGCACAACCACTGACACAAAAACAGTGCAATGACATCTTCAGGCAAAGGTATGAAGAGAGGTTGGAAAATGGCCATATGAAAATGAATTATGACTCCTTTTGGTTAAACCCAGACAGATATTATAAGTGGATCTCAGCTTGAAAAAAAATAAAATATAAGAAAAATGCAGAATCTGAGCCTATTAAGGCTTTGGCTTGTAGCGTCGATCAGTGTTTTTCAGCTCCAGTCCTGCGGATGCACTACCCTGCACATTTTCAACTATTCTCCAGCTGAACACACTTGATTCACCTCATGAAGAGTTCAGTAATCAGTCGATCAGCTGGATCATACATACATACATACATACATCATCTAAACCGCTTATCCTTCTGGGTCGCGGTAGGGTGCTGGAGCCTATCCCAGCTGTCATTGGGCGGAAGGCAGGATACACCCTGGACAGGTCGCCAGTCCATCGCAGGGCAGACAGACAGACATACACAATCACACCTAGGGGCAATTCAGCATGTCCAATCAGCCTGACTGCATGTCTTTGGACTGTGGGAGGAAACCGGAGTACCCGGAGGAAACCCACGCAGACACGGGGAGAACATGCAAACTCCACACAGAAACGACCCTGGTCACCCGGCCGGGAATCGAAACCAGGCCATTCTTGCTGTGAGGCGACAGCGCTACCCACTGCGCCACTGTGTCGCCTTCAGCTGGATCAGGTGTGTCAAATCAAGAAAAAATGTTGCAGTGCTGTGGGTCACCAGGAGCAGGAGGATTAAGAAATGCAGCATTTGAGCCCTCAGCACTCCAGACATCAATGTCATCTATGCCAGTGGTTTTCGACTCTGGTGGGGACCCACTGCCCTGCACAATATTCTCTGCTTCCAACACACCTGCTCCAGCTCATGACCTTGATAATTACCTGATAAGCTGTATCAGGTGTGTTAAGGCAGGAAACAGTAGGAACTGTGCAGGGCAGTGTGTCCCCAGGACTGGAGCTGAAAACCACTGATTTAAGCTACAAGCCTTAAGCTTGTGTTTCCCAATTCTGGTCCTTTACTGCCTCAGCACAGTTTAGTGTTTTCCCAGCTTTATAACACCGGTTCACCTGAGAAAAGGCTAGTCAATGAGCTGGTTAATTGAGGCCTGTTGGAGCAGCAAAAACACTGAAATGTGCAGATCAGGGGTGACTAATCCAATGTTGTGTCTGAAACTAAGTGCATAGTGGGGCGCGGGGAATAACCTAACACGGCGCATTTTAACACAGACTTTTTATGTTGTTATACAAGGTCAAGCATTGTGTGCTTCTGGCCACATTACCTGAACGTTGCACATTTCCTAGCAACAATATTGAATATTAGGTATTGAATTAACTTTGTTTGCACTGATTCATCAGACTTTTCTAGCAAGACAACAGACCCTCTGTCTGTTACAGTTAATCCACCTATGGGGTAAATTGGGGTAACATTGTGCTTCCTGTTATTTTCAGTGGAATTGTACATAAACTGTAGGTGCTAGCAACAAAGTTCAAGTGTTTGTTTGTAGCAGACATGTATATGTTGCTTGTAGAAAACATGATTATTCCAGATTAAATATATTTTAAATTATTTTGCAAAAACTAAAATGTGTTGAGCTCCACTCTCCCGTACTATATACATATTCACAGTGGCAGTACAATCTTTGAAACATTTACATAATTTTCAGAATTTCTTAGTGTTTAATTTTCTCAGTCTGCTGAGTGGAGCAGTGTTACCCACTACACCACTCCAACTGTTAGCTAAAGCCATGAACTTATTTATTAAATAGTTGTTGCATTGAGGTGTGTGAGATAATAAAACCATCACTATCTGGTCTTTTGCTTGCAGTTTGTATAGTACAGCAGGTAGCCTCTGCCTTCCAGCCAGCAGACTAGGGTTTGATTGCCTGCCCATGTAAGCACATGCTCTACCAATAAGCATCCCTGAGCATGACTGCTAATGCTATATTAGCTTGCCTCTCTAACATGATTAGACTGTAAGCCATTCTGGATAAGAGTGTCTGCCAAATGGCATAATACAAGCTATGCTTTTTTTATTACATTTTCAGCAAAACAAACAAATCTAAGTACATTAAGCCAATGAACATTAGTCAGGGTGACTACAAAATCAGCTGTTCAGAAGAGTCAATCTTAATGCATCGTGTTGCCTTAAAATTTTGAGTTCTCTTAAAATTTTTGTTACAGTGTATGTTTACCATGTTCTCAAAGCTGATCCACCACTTCAGAAGACCAGTATGCTGTTTGATGAACAGTAGTTTTGGATGATGTAATCTTTCTGCAATACTGTTTTGGCATATTATTTAGACCTATTTATTTGGCATATTACCTGGACTTTAGATTTATTGTGTGATTTGGGATGCAGCTCAGGAGTGGACAGTCATTCAGTCTGGAGCAGTGGCGCTTTCCATGGTCCTGAATGCTATAAAAGATTCTGGAGCAGGTGTTGTGTCTCATATGTAAAATATTGATGAAAAAAACTGAAAGGTCTGTAAGCACAATAAGCAGACAGTGTGTAATTGGTTATGAATTTTAATGAGCCCATAACAGAACTGGTGAGACAGAAAGAAAGTTCTCATATTGACAAAAAGGCTCAACTGTCTGCTGTTGCTAGGGTTTAATTTGCTGCCTAATGTGAGTTTATAGCTGTTGTGTCAATGGTCACCAACCATCGATCTCCTGTTCCTGGAGATCCACCTTGCCATAAAGTCTAGTTACAACTATACCTGCACTCCAACTAATTAATTTCACCAGAAGTCTCTGATTGGCTGGGTCAGATGCAGTAGTAAGGTTGGGGGTGGTGGGGAGGGGGTGCAGCATGGTAGGTGCAGGTTAGAACTAAACTCTGCAGTAAAGTACAGTACACCTGCAGAGATATTATTACAGCTCTAAAGTTTAGGTGTTCACATTTTCTGCTTCTCTTAATCAAAAGAATCCCACTTAAAAATTAGACTAATCAGTACATTAAGCCTTGCTCCACATCTCAGATGTCCAGTTTCAGTTCTAGTGCAAATTTCCATCTTTTTTATCTGTTTCCTTTTCTCAGTGAAGGCTTCTTGACAGCTACACATCCTTTCAGACCCATATATTGATTTTGTATATGATATCATGATTGTTGATGTTACATTTTCTGCTTTTGGTTTGACTGTCTGTCTTAGGAACCACAATGGACAAAAGCCAATGGCTATTTTGTGTTGCTACTGACTGTTTCTGTATATCTGATCTTTTTATATTATATAATAACCCATTTTTAGGGTGTGAATAATGCTATTTGTTGTAAAAGCATGAAATGGTAAAGTAGATTCAATTAGTCAGTCAATCAACACCTGTGGATTTCTTCAAATCAAGGGTGGAGCTTGATTTTCAAAGAACACAGCTTTGAGTGGACAGCTTTAAGAATACTGTTCATCTAACGGTGGCAGTTTTGGTGGTCTATCAGGTCTTGCACAGTTGTTAAGAGTCTCGTTTTGTCTATCCTTGTCTATCTAGCTTTATAAAAACATTTTTAAAACTTATTTTTCTTTGACTTTCCCTTCATTATGAAAGTGGATTATCTTTTATCTGATCTCATTAGAAACATCTTAACCATTTTAGATGCACATGAGAAAGAAATTTGCAAGGCAGCTAATGTGAGTTTGGGTAGTTGCGTCTCTTTGATGAGGAGCATAATGTCAGTGACTCTTTTGGGAACAGTTTTTGTGTGGAAGACCCAGCTGTAGCTGTTTGGTTTTAAGATTTGAAGGAGGGAAGCGTTAAAGTGGTAGGTGGGTGCACAAAACAAAAAGCAGACAAATTAAACACTGGTAGATATGAT